ACAATTCTCATTATCTTCCCCATGTAATTTCAACCATTTCCTTTACATGGTCAGTCTTATCCCTATAGCATAAACCTCAAATTTCATCAGTGCTAAAGAAATCCAATCTACTAGTAAGAGTATAGTAGGCAAATTTTTGGATAAATTAGCACTGTCTCAATTCCTCGTCCCGAAGCATTAGATGTCTCATCATAATAAAGTTCTCAGGATTTGACATCTGGTTCAATTTCTTCCATAGCAGATATGCATAGTAGAAACTCGAGGACTCATAATCATCAGACACACTACTAGTCAGAAAATCTATTTTGACACTTTCTTTTAATGCTCTACAGGCTCACATATATGGTGTCAAACAATATTTTCCCTCACTAATTTGTCTGTCAAAGCTAGTGACTCCATCAAGCAATTTAGAGGAGCATGTTTGGATATTCACCAAGTAGTAAGGAAACCTGTAATGTATGTTCCCTTTAGCACAACATGACTTCTGGATCAACGATTATAGGGTCTCATAATTGGTGAGCTTCTTTCCCCTAGTACTGGATGGGTCTCCTATTTTTCCTGGACTTGTTATGTTGCCCACACCACACATTTTAATGAACTTTTGAAGGTCGTTAAATAGAAGATTAACAATCTATCAGGAACTTGTGTACTACCACTTCTATATTCAATCCTATTATGCTTGATAAGACAAGGGAAAGATGATTTTTACACTTAAAACAACTCTATTGATTCTTGACAAAGTCTTACAAATCTTTAACTATCCCCTTTCCCATTTGTTCTCAAACTCGGAATCTCGACCTCTTGTCCGTAAGATAAGACCTGATTACCTTACTTTTCATAAACCTCAATAATTTGTTGGAAACCTTATATTCAATAATTTGTTGAGTCTCTCGACTATTAAATGTTACAAAATGGTCTCCCGACTTTTCATTATGTTCCAAACTCGTTCTTTTCATTAAAAATTGGGCGGTAGTTTGAACTGAACATTAACATGTTAACTGTGATATGATAAAATTTTATCCTATAATTTCAAATGACTATCATATCACAGTCATTATTTTGATGCCCTACCTTAAACAACCACCAATTTTTTAATGAAAAAATATGAGTTTGGAACATAATTAGTAGTCGGGTGACTATTTTTGTAACTTTTAATAATAAATGGACTGAACAAAGTAACATTCTATAATCAAAGGACTATTTTATAACTTTTAATAGTCAAAGGACTTAATAAAATAATACTCTATAGTCAATGGTTCATTTGTGTATTTTACCCTAGATTTAAATATAAATAATTTTCCCACTGTACGGTCTACCATTAACCATATATTGAATAATATTTTAATATTTTTTTTATTATTATTATAATTTTTTTAATCAATCTAGAGTACTTACAAGCAGTAGTATTTATTATAAATATTTTCATCCATTTGACAATGAACATCTAAATGCCTTACAGTTTTTAAGACCCAAATATGAAATTTCTAAATATAACAATCATTCTTTTAAATATAACTATTAAGATGAATTTAATAAATATAACTTTCACATAAAATATTATAAAATATTGCACATCAATTCTGTTTATAAATTTTAATAAAAGAAAAATATACAAGAGCTACTAAATATTAAAAAAATAAGGTTCCCTAGAAGCATTCTAAGGTTATGATAGAAAAGATTGAGGTTAACATCTATTATAAAATGTCATTTTTAGTCCTTAAATTTTTCTAAAAAGTCATTTATTTTTTTTATTTTTGGAACTTTTAATTTTGTCAAATTAAAACAATTGATGAAGAAAGTCAGATTTGTTAAGTTGATATTAGCTCCACTCTTTTGTCATTTTATATTTTAAATATTTTTTATAAACTTTAATAACTTAATTATATTTTTATAAAATAACTCACATTAGTTTAACATGTCAAGTATATTTTTTAGCAATTGATGAGTTAAAAGATTTTAAGAATTAAAATTATTTAAAAAATAAGAGCCGAAAATGTTATTGAGCTATTATACTAAATAAGTAAAAATAAATAAATAAATTTAAGACTGATTATCTCAGATTAATCAATTTTATAAATATAATTACCATATATTAACTCATTCGACTAATTGCAAGCTGAATCATTAATTACCGTGTTGAAAAGAATATTCACCATTTATTATAGCTAGCACTTCACCATATATACATAATTAATGATTAATTTAGACTTGGTTCCTTTTTTTTTCAAGAAAAATAATTTATTTTCATCCAATAAACGGATTGAGATTATATTATTGGTTCCTTTTTAAAAAAGATTTAATTAATTTAAAAATTTTGAATAATTTTTAAATAATTTAAAATTTTAATTGTGTTTAAGATAATTTGAGTTTAAATTAATTTAAAATTATCTCATTTTGGGTTCAAACCATTTTGCTTAAATCGTTATCACATATTATACAAAACTAGATGCTAAATTAGAAACTAAAATTGTTCACAATTTTTTTACTGTATATATAAATATAGGGGTTTTCACTTTTCAGTTTTAATTGAATTAATCGATCGAATCAAATTAGTTCGATTAATTAAGTCAGACACTAAAATAGTTCGGTCGAAGAATAGTTAATATTTTTTAAATATTCGATTAACAGTTAATTCGGTTCGAAATTATATATTAAATATTATATATATTAAATACTTATTTTAAGCTCAAACTCATTAAGAATTAATATCCAATTATTTTTAACTACATTTAAACTAGGCCGTAAATAAAACGAGACAAATCGTGAATTAATCTAATTCGACTCGTTTAAAACTCGATAAATCTCAACTCGAGTTCTTAACGAGCTGAAACTAGCTACTTGATACTCAACTCAAAAAGCTTACGAGCTACTCGAAAATATTTATAATATTTTAGGCTCAATTCATGGTTTTCGAGTTTAAGTCAAACTTGAAAATTGTAGGTTCACAAGTTTTCGAGTCGAATCAAGCTTCATTTTAAAGTTTTCGAGTAGAATCAAGCTTCATTTTAGAGTTTTTGACTCAAGTCGAGCTCAGTAATACTCGAGCTCGACTCGGCTCATTTATAGCCCTACATTAGACTCATTTAATTATCAATACCAAATTAAATTTTAACTCAAATAAAAAATGCATCTATTATATTCAAATTAATCTAATTATAAAAATTATAAAAATTTCGGTTAATTCGATTAACCGACCGAAGTAACCAAACTTATTATGTTCGGTTAATATTTAAAAAAAAAGTTTGAATTGATTAACAGTTAAAAAATTTAATTAATTTGATTAATGAAAATTTAGTTTAATCGGTGACTGAGTTAACCTTTTGAACAACCCTATGTATATGAAACTAAATGCAGAGGTGGCAAGAGACATATTCAGGTCGGGTTCTATTTAGATTTCGATTCAATTATGTCCGACAATTCAAATTAACCTTATAAAAAGAAAAAATAATAATAACAAAAGTACGTTTTCTTGTTTATTATTAAATTTTGAATATTACACAAAATATTTGTTAAATTTAAAAATCTTAATACCCGTAATTAATAAAATCATCATAATCTAGGGTGAGCGTTCGGCCGAGTCAAATCGACTCGAGTAAAAAAATTTCGAGTTAACGAGTCTTATTTTACAACTCGAAATTGGCTTGAAATTTTTTCGAATCGAGTTTATGAAATTCGAGTCATGTCAAGTCAAATTTTTGAGTTTGTGTTTATATTTAATTATAAATATTTACAATATTTTTTATATTATTTGATTTCAATTTAAATGATCATATACTATATATATATAACAATCTATTCTTGTGTGATTTTTGATAAAAAAAAATTACAATATATATATCATACAAAATTGAGGGACTCGACTCAAACTTGAAAATTAATTCACTAATTAATAAAAATTTCGAGTTATTCGAGTTGTATTTTTCAACTCTATTTGAACTTGAAATTTTTTTTGGATCAAGTCGAGTTTATGAAATTACAACTCGAAGTCGTTTCAAGTCGAGTTTTTTTAATCGACTCGAATCGAAAAAATTAATTTTTTAAGTCAAGCCGAATTTTGTTCACCCTTATCATGATCCCATATAAGAAAAAATCGATTCTAAAATATTTATTCTAAGTATTCAAAAAAAAAATATTCTAAACCCCAAATCAGAATATAAGCCCAGCTCCAAATATCATACCTGTTATTATTTATTAACAAACTTCAGAATAAACTCATAATGTCTCAAATCTTAAGCCTAAAATTACAAATATAATTTCTAAAAATTTAAAACTTCATCCCAAAATCAATTTACTAAAAAAAATATTTTAAACAAGTTAAAATACATTTTTAACAATATTTTATGCATTACTAGTTATATACATGTGCAAGAATATGATAGATGATATATAACTATTAGTATTATAGCGTGCATTATTATATTATATAATATATTATATTTATACCAAAAAAATAATAATAAGTTGCATATTATTATATGATTTATAATTTAATTTTTTTATTAAATTATTTAAGTTCAGCCAACGTCAAGTTACTAGATTATTTAGGGCTCACATTAATTTTGAATTTAAATTAATTTTAAATTAAAATTAGAGATTTAAGTAGTTAATGTTTTGATAATCAAATTGAATTTTGTAAAATTTGACAGCTCTACCTGGCATGAAGCAATACGAGCTCTAACACTTGTTTACTTGTATTATTATTAATCCCTTTTCTCTCTATGTTCATAACTTGAGCTTACAAAGAAATTATTATTTTTTTGAGATTTCGGATTCAAGCATCAAGAATGTTAAAGTGTGTGCGTTCAACAATATTAAATGATTGAGAGTAATCTTTAAAATATAATGTCGTGTATTTACTCAGATTAATAAAAAACTGGAAAAAAAATAATGCTTAGCTAGGATGTCCAAATTTTTAGGAGTAGAAATTTAAATGTGGACCAACAAAATATAATAAATATTTAATGGGTCCAACCATCCTACCATTGCTAAATTCGCTCCAAAACTATCGTAGATACGTTTTAATGGTAATTACCATGAAACAATGTGATGACCCAAACTTTTGAAATTTCAAAAGGAGTGACCGTTAGGGCATACCTGGCAGTAGCTGGGAGAGGACAACCAGCATAGCCTGTAAAAACACATAAAATGAGTATGAGTTTTGGGATCTTAAGTGAGAGCCTAAAGTACAATTTGTTAGTATAAGATTAAAAACGATATAAATCGATTGTAACCGAAGATCTTACTTAAAGCCTAAGAATGTGTTTGGTAGAGGGAATGTGAGATTCCCATGGGAATGAAATCAACATTCCCCCGTTTGGTTGGCCGGGAATGTTATTCCCGGTAATCTTATATTACCAATAGTATATTTTTTTGGGTATATTACCAGAAATGTCATTATCACCCTTTCCTTAGGTATTGTTGGATTACCGACGTTTTGGACTAAAATGCCTTTAAAAAAAATTCCTTTAAAAAATATCTTTATTCTGTCATTGAATAATAAAAATTCTACGAAGGTTAAATTACAAATTTATCCTTAAACTATTTTAGATTTACAAAAAAAAATCTATAATTAAAATTTTATATGAAATTCAGGGGTAAAATAAAATTTTACCCTTTCATTAAACCTTTTTATATTTTTAATTTTGTAAAAAAAATTATATAAATTTTATGAATTTAATTTTTTTTTAAAGAAAATATATAAATATTTTCTAACTGGTTAAAAAACAAATATATAATAATGACAATTTGGTAAAATATACATTCTAATAATCTTTTATTATTTTAACCAAACACGGTAATCTTACATTCCTGCTAAACCAACCAAACACAAAATACAACATTCACAGTAATCATATTCCCTGGTAATTTTTTATTCCCATTATTAATTTTACATTATGTGAACCAACGAACCCTAATTGTTTAGGATGGATAAACCAAAAATATTATCTTTATTTTCTTCGTAATATTTTCAGTTGTAACCAAAATTATTACAAATTAGATAAATTTTTTTTTTATAAATCCTAAACCCATCACAATGTTATTTTTTCGGTTATAATAAAAAAATGTTACAAATTGATCTTAAATTAGGCCTCCTACAGCAGAGCTAACTGAATTTAGCATAACTAACTGAATTTAAAGGGTAAGAAGGGAAAAAAAGATGGTAAAGCAAAGGAAAGGGAAATTACTAGGGTCGGAAGTAGTGACGGCGGCAGTGCCGGCAAAGTCGCAAGTGCCTTGAGCTTGGCCTTTTCTTTGGAAGAAGCTGTTGACGGCATAATTGCAATGTGCCCTCACAGTGTCTGGGTTGAAACATGGTCCCTTCATGTGGATAGGGTTACAATCTGCCCCTTCTCCACATGCATAGTCCAATGTCTTCTGCAATACAGTATCACTCACTCCATCCTTGCATATACACCATGTCCCACCTGTTCATATTGTTTTTTATTAGTACAGAGGAAATACAAGTTAGTATTTATTCAAAAATCTCTCTCAATCGTTAGACAATCAACATTCATACATCCTACATTCCCGATGCTCAAAGAATAAAAACATTCCCTTAATTACTGAAATCACTTCGTTCATGAGGAGGATAAAGAGATCTATATAGTTAAGAGGGCATTATTGTATCAAATGTGTATATATACTTGGACATGACATAAAAATGTATCATAGCATATATGGAAGAGACGTGAAAAAATTTAAAAGATAACTTAAATATACTTTATATCAAACACATGGTCTCAACTGACATCTGAGTATTACACATTAAAACATTGCATTAAATATGATAAACGACAACTTCATTCGACATTCCAATGTGTGTATTTGATGGGATATTAAACTTCTCGAATGTTCTTGCGGAATTTTTGTTCACAAAATAATAAATAAAAAAAACATACATTTTAATACAGATTAAAAGGTTGAGAATAATGAAATCTGGGAGCAAAATAGTGAAACGGGAAGCTGCCAAAGCAAATGTGATGATGGGAAAACAAAGAACGTGAAGATTATAAAAGGGTATTTAAACAACAAGATTATTTAAGCTTATTCATCTTAAAACAGAAGAGAACAATAACACAAAAATGCAAAAAGAGAAAAGCAAGTTACAAGATCTACAAACAGAGAAAATCAAATGTCTTTTTAGGAGGAAAAATAAAAAGAAAGAAAGAAAGTGAAAGGGGGCTTACTTGAGCGGCCAGTCACGGCGGCCAGAAGGAGCAGTGGAAGCAGCACTGAAGCAGCCATGGTTGAAGAGCAAAGCAAGAGGGTGCTGAACAAGAGTTAGGAAAACAACAATGGCTGAACTCTGCAACTTGAGAGAGAGAGAGTATGCGGGCAGTGTGTTACAGACAGAGAGAGAGAGATACAGGAAATAGACAAGAAAAATAAAGGATGCACAGTGATTTTGATGGTGGGACGAAAATGGCCTGTCGGCTACTCTCTTTTACTTTTAAATCCAATCAATATCTTTTACTGCATTGCACGGGCGTGCACGGCTCGGCTACGTAAATCGGGTTAAAACAATGTTTTTAAAATCAGACTAGACCTTAAATTGATAAAGGTATTGTTTCACTAGTTTAACTGTAGTTCAATCGGATTGAATTGATTTATATAAAATAATATTTTTTAAAAATTTACATAATATTTAAAGCAATATTAATATATATATAACATTTTTTTTAAGTTTACAATATGAAAATATATAAAAATATCACAATTCATAATATATATAAGTTAAATACCATAAAATCAAGTGAAACAAAATGATTCAAATCAACTACAACATAATATTTAAGGTCAATACCTAATGAAATTCATCAACAACTAATTAAAAAAAAGTACATAATTAATATTCATTGAAATTGATTCCCTCAAATTCTAAAATATTAGAAAAATATTCTTATAATTATTTTAAATTAATAAAAAATTATTTATCTAATGAAAAATATTTAATATATTTCTAATGATAATAATTTTAATAACTAATTTTTTAAATTATTATTATTTTGAGGTTTCGGGTTCAAATATCATAAATATCAAGGGTTAAGCTAAATATCTTGTAATGAATCCTAAACTCTAAACCCTAAATCTAAACATAAACTTAAACCCTAAACCATAAACCATTAATCTGATTATATGATATGGGTTAAGTTATGCACATTAAGGTAACATACAAATTATGCAAAATGATGTTATGTGACTCCTAAATAAATCATTCGCATACTTATACATAAACATATGAACATGCAAAATAAATATACACAACTAATTAAAGAAAACAACCCTAAACAGAGACTAAATTAAGAGAAACCTAAATGTGAGGACTAATTTAAGCTAAATATATTAACTTTAGAATGATGATTAAATTCACGTAAATTCAATTTTATTGTTAATTGTTTTTAGAGTTAAAATAATTTTTTAATCTCTATTATACATATAATTTTTTAGTTTGACATTTTTCTAAAACAAATATTATTATTAATTGAATAATATAATTTTTAAATTATTTATGTTTATATTTTTTAAGGGTTAAATTGATAATAATTAGAGATTTAAATGATTAAATAGTTATTTTATCATTTCATATAGTTTCCACAGCTTTTTTTCACTTACTATCCGTTTTTGATTAATTTTTATCCAAGCTTTTGAATTTCACTCCAATAATACGTGAATCCTCACCTTATACGATTGTTTTTATGATTAAATTTCTAGGCCATTTACGATTTCAGTATACGAGGAATTGCCTGTAAATTCGTAGGGTGTTCTCCTTAGTTTTCAGAAGAAGCTTTACAAACAAGTTGGTGAAAGCCTGAGTCCATCGACAATATCCTACATCGTCGAGATACTATAAGATGATAGGACATGCTAAATATAAAACAAGCGGGCTTATGCAATTTAAAGCATACATTTCTCGGCCTTTTGGCTCAGATTCGAGCTTGAATCGAGCTCAAAATCGAGCTTGAGTCTCGAGCTTCAATCGAGCTCTTGAAATCTTTTTGAATTTGAGTTGAGTTTCAATATTATATTTCGAGTTTGAGCTAAGTTTGATAATTTTTAACTCGCGAGTTTTCGAGTCGAGTCGAGTCGAGCTTATTTTTAAAGTTTTCGAGTTCGAGTCGAGCTTAGCAATACTCAAGCTTGACTCGGCTCGTTTACACCCCTATTTGGGGCTGAAAAAAATCATAACAAACGGCGTTGTTTGGTATTATTTTTTTATAAAAAAAAAAACAAAATCAGCGGTTCACACCGGGTTTGTTGGTTTTCAGCTGGTTTTACCGATTTTCAGTCGGTTCATTGCAAAATTAGTTTAGAGGTTGACCGGATTGGACAAGCAACTGGTTCCCGGTTTAACCAGTTGATCCGGTCCGATTTTGATAACATTGGTTAAAACTTAGGATTGTTTGTTTCGCTGAAAATTTTTACCGAAACTATTTTCCGTAAAATAAATTATATTTTTTAAAAATATTGTACGATATTTGAAATATATTGTTTAAATCTTTTTTTCTGGCAAAAGTGCCAAAATAAGGCATCGGGAATGTTTAATTCCCAAACTAATGCACTCATCTGATTAATTTCCCATCTAGTGTATTTTCTATAGTACCTCATAAAGTCCCCAGGATATCTCGGCGTCTTCAGGCTAAAATTTTGCTCCATTGGATTACCAGACGTCTTTAGTTAAATTTTTTTTCTGATTACTGTGCATTTTTGGAGACTTTCCCTAAATATCACATTTTCCTTAAATATTTACGTGTCAGACACCCTTTGAAATAATATTCTCTATCTAACACCCTTTGTATTATTTAATTTTTTTAGTATTTTATTTTTTCCTTAAATCATTATGTTAAAATTTGTACTAAAGCGACGTCTTTCTTCAAGTACTTATAACATGAACCTTCCTTGAAATCTTCATTATCACCTCCTCAAGAGTTATGTTTCTCCTTAATGATAGTTTAACATAATGATTTGATACGAAAACAACGTCGGTTTCATCTTCCTGAATTTCTCCATCATAATAAACAATAGTTGAAATTCGCTTCATTCTTACACATAAACGTAAATAATTTTATATTATTACCGTATCGGCAAAAATATTTCAACGTATGCTCTCGCTTTCCAATTTTATAACCACAAAAATTAATTGAAAATAATTACTATAATATTTTCTACAGTACCTCTTAAAGTCCCCAAGATATCTCGGCGTCTTTAGTTAAATATTTTTCTGATTACTGTGCATTTTTAGAGACTTTCCCGAAAAATAACATTTTCCTTAAATATTTACGTGTCATACACCATTTGAAATAATATTCTCGGTCTAACACCCTTTGTATTATTTAATTTTTTTAGTATTTTATTTTTTTCCTTAAATCATTATGTTAAAATCTGTACTAAAGCGACGTCTTTCTTCTAGTACTTCTAACATAAACCTTCCTTGAAATCTTCATTATCACATCCTCAAGAGTTATGTTTCTCCTGAAGGATATTTTAACATAATGATTTGATACGAAAACAACGTCGGTTACATCTTCTTGAATTTCTCCATCATAATAAACAATAGCTGAAATTCGCTTCATTCTTACATATAAACGTAAATAATTTAAATAATATAATTTTATATTATTACCGTATCGACAAAAATATTTCGACGTATTCTCTCGCTTTCCAATTTTACAGCCACAAAAATTAATTGAAATTAATTACTATAATATTTTTTTTCAAATAAACATATATGATTATAAAAATATTATATATTAAAAAAATTACATTACAACGAAAGATCGAACGAACTTTTGAATCAAAGATAAGAGGATTATCGGGTGATATTTAAGAAAATATTATCTCAAAGGGTGTCTGACACGTAAATATTTAAGGAAAATATGATTTTTTTTTGGAAAATCTCCAAAAATGCACAGTAATCATAAAGATTTTAACTAAAGACGCCGGGTAATCATAGGAGCAAAAACTAAAGACGTCGGGTAATCCCATGGAGCAAAATTTTAGCCTGAAGACGCCGAGATATCTTGGGGACTTTAGGAGGCACTGTAGAAAATACACTAGATGGGGAATTAATCGGATGAGTGCATTAGTTTGGGAATTAAACATTCCCACATGCCTTATTTGGGCACTTTTGCCTTTTTTCACTAGTTGATAAATTTTTTAAAAATTATTTATTATAAATATTAAATATAATAAATAATATTATTTATTATAAAACTTAATATTATTATTTTTAAAATATTAAAATAATTTATTTATTATTAAACTATTATTTTTATAATTTTATTAATAAAAATATTAATATTTGTATATTTTATTGAAATAAAAATATTATAAATTATATTAGTTATTTATTAAAGTAATAGTGTTATATTATATTTTAAAAATATTAATTAGTATATTTTAAATATCTTTATAATAATATTATTATATTATTATTAAATATATAAATAATATTATTCATTATTAATAATTTAATAATATTATTTCTATGAAATTAATAAATAATATAAATTTTATTAATAATTTATTATATATTATTAAATAAAAGCATAATATATTATATTATTATAATATAATTGATTATTTTATTATAATATTAAAAATATAAGATTATATTATTAGAAATATTAATAAATATATTTTTAAATATTTTAATAATTAATATTTTGATTAAAATGATATTAAAATAATTTATTAATATTAAAATAAAATTATTTTGAGTATTTATTCTTTGAATTGAAAAGTTCAAAAAATGACTTACGGAAAATCAGACCGTAAGTAATTTTCCTGAAAACACAAAGGAAATTCTGTTGATCAGGAAAATGTTTTACGTTGACCAACCAGTTTTCCTCCAACCAAATATTGGAAAATGAGGAAAACATTTTCCGGAAAACGTTTTACGTGAAACAAACAGACCCTTAATCAACAAATTAAAACGAGTCAATTTTACAAATAAATTATTAATATTTATATCAATAATCCTAACTTATCACCCGACCAGGTATTTAAATGAACCGAACGTTTAACGAATCGTTCGTAAATTGTTTAGTGAAAGGACCCGTTCATTCATTTACATTCGTGAAAATTTAATAATGTTCGTTTATGTTCGTTTATGCTCGTTTATATTCGTTCATTTTTGTTCGTTCGTTTATATTCAGTTCAATCTCGACACTCATTTAAGATATTAAGACTCAATCATTAATATTTTAAAATCTAAATAATTTTAAACCCAAATCAATTAAAAATATAAATCATTCCCATTTAAAACCCTAATAATTTTAATCACAAATGAAAATATAAAGCCTAAAACAAATTGGAAAGTAAAAAACTCT